AAGGAAAAATCTTACTGTTCTTGTAGAATAAGTAGAAGTATCTCTTCGAATAGCAAATAAAAGCCGAAGTGCTTCTATCGAACGTGTGTATTAACACGATTGAAACTACTTTTTAACGAAAATTACACGGAACGATTNAAAATTGCTAAAAAATCTTCTAATAAACAAACTTTGTAATTAATAAATAAATGTTGTTATAAAAATGAAATTTAAAATAAAACTTTGTTATTAATAAACTATTTTTTTAAATCAAATAAGCATTTTATATAATTACCTTTAGATAATCATTAGAGTGGATCGCTCGTCATTAGAATGGATTCGAAATTTTGAAAAACCCACAAAAACAAAAAATTTAGCGCGTTAAACTACCAGCTAATGATTAGTACACCTTCTACTTCACACAGTAATTTTTTCATAATTTCTAGTTAACTTTGAAATTAAAATATATTTTCGCTCCACATTTTAACGTTTCATGAGAACGACCCATATCAAAGATGGAGAACATCGCCAGGGAAATCAGAGAAAGCGGAGAACAACATAAGTGACATAAGTGAAACAGCTGTCATAACAAAGATTCTAAGTACACTACCAAGTAAATACAGAACTTTTAGACTAGTTGTAACTTCTAGACTTAGTTGTCTGTAGATGAAACAAAACAAACTATAGATTCAAAAAAAAAAAAATTATAGATTTTTTAATTCTAGACTGACGGTAATTAAATAGTCGTTCAGGTGCTCCAATACCTGGATCTCCATTCAAATGTTTCATTGTATCCTAATATCATATAGGGTATTTACAAGGCTTGTGGGTTAGGAATAATCAAACTTCAATACCAAACCATTCGATATTCGCTCTTGAAGAAGTATGACACTTGCAAACATTTTGTTCGAAGCAGATATGGGAAGAATGTCTTCTAGATATTCTTATGGCAGTACCCCACATCCACAAGTATCGTACTGGTCATCTGAAATATCATCTGGGCCGACAAGGTGTATTATCTGATTTGTTCACTTTACACTCTGCAATGTATCATTCAACATGGCGATTGAATGTGCGCTTTGTTTTAAAAACATACAAAGAAATTCTGATTATATCGCTTGTCGCGGAAATTGTGATCACAATTACCACCTAGAATGTGTACAAGTGAGGTTCGGAAAGTTCAACACCATGAAAGAAGACGGATCTATTAAAACATGGATCTGCTGTAATTGTACTAAAGATATAACCTCAAACTCGAGTGAGTTGGAAGGAGAAAATCCGCTTTTTCAACAATTTAAGACATATATCGATAACATGAAAAACGATTTAATTGAATCATTCAAACATGAAATCTCTAAACTTAGAGAAAATAATAAAAACTTAACATCAGAACTAAAACAAATTAAAAAACAACTTGCAATACAAAACGTTAAGTTAAGTACAGAAGAAACACCAATAGATGTCGATGTTTGTATTAATAACACGCATACATCTGGTGCAATAAAAAAACACACCGAACCCGGTAAACAACAACCTCTTCAAGTCATTGACCCGACTAACTACAATAAAATACAACAACAGAAAAAGGAGATGGAGAATTTCTTTAAATATCCAAAATATTCTGAAACTTTAAAAAAATCTGTGCAAAAAAATGTTACTGTGCACCAAGAAAATAAAAATGAGATAAATACGTTACAACAAGAAAATGCACCCTTTACAACAGTAATGCGTAAACCAAGAAGGAAGTCAATGTTAAATATAACTCTCGGCACGGCATCTGATATTGAATTAAAAGGAACGCCACAATATGTTAACTTTCACATATGTGGTTTTGAAACTACAACTACTGAAACTGTTATAACAGAATATCTTAGTAAAAATAATATAAAAAACGCTAAATGTTTAAAAATTACATCAAAGAGGCCCGATGAATATTCCTCATTTAAGCTATCAGTACCTATAGAATATCAAAATGAAACAAAAAAACCAACGCTATGGCCATCAGGAGTACGTATAAGTCGTTTTTTAGAAATGATTTACATAACCCAACATAGAAGAACATGATGTATCTATAACAACTACTCCTGCTTTTACTAATTATATTAATACCACAACTACTACCAATGAATCAAACAATCCAATGATTTTCACAGTGATTCATCAGAACATTCAGAGTATTCGGAATAAAATTGATGAACTGCTTGTTTTCGTAGAATCCTTAGATATCACTGTAAATGTAATAACTTTGACTGAACATTGGTTGAAAGCTGATGAAGTAATACTAGTGGATGGTTATAAAGTGGCTTCAATATTTTCAAGGGTAAATAATCAACATGGAGGCAGCTGTATACTAGTACGTAACGATCTCAAGTATACGGAGCTGATGAATATAAAAGACAAAAGTAAAGAATTTGTTATTGAATGTAGTGCTATAAAATTAAATGTACAAAAAGTAACGATTATCTGTATATACCGATCACCAAAATCGGATATAGAAGACTTTTTTAACATTTTAGAGGACATACTATTAGAATGTTCACCGCAAACATTGAAAACTAAATTATTATTAACTGGTGATTTAAATATAAATCTAGAAAATAGAAATACTAATACTCTCAGATTGTTAGATATGCTTAACCGACACAATCTTAGACCAACTATCAACAAACCAACACGGATAACTGAATATTCCAGCTCACTTATTGACAATATTTATGTGAACATAGAAAGTTGTAACAGTGAAGTAATCATTTCAACTCTTTCCGATCATACAGCGCAGAAGATATCTTTTCCAATAACAACTATAGATGGCAACACACAAGTAAAAATGCTAAAAAAACGTATATTTAGCAATACAATTCTCTCAGAAATACATGCTGAAATACATATAATTGATTGGAATTTTTTAAGTAGCTATAAAGACACTGACGAGTTATATGACAAGTTCATAAATGTAATACATAATTGCATAATTAAAAAATCAGAGAAAAAGTTAATTAAAATGAATGTAAATCGGCTACTAATAAATGGTTAACAAAAGAAATACAAAACAAAACGTGTGTGAAGCGTCAACTATATGAAGGAATGTTAATGGGTAAAATTGATAAAGAATATTACAATATTTACTCCCGACATGTTCGAAACGAAATAGCGATATCAAAAAGAACTGTTTTCACCAATTTTATAGAAACAGCTAAAAATAAAGTAAGGGCTACATGNTGTGTGCTTAATTATTAATAATTATACATATAATAGCGTAATTATTAAAAAAAGTAGCAAAAATCTAAAAGGTTCTTCTATACAGCAAAGTTTAAAGAGTTGTTATTAAGTTAGCGTTAAGGAAATCGAAAAGCTGGTACAATTTTTGCTGTTAATGAGAGTAATTGGAGACTGTGAGGCATAGTGCAAAAAATTTACCGGGCCAAAGAAGAGATGATTTCATGAAATTGTCGAGGCAGTTTTCTAGTTCTCTCAAGAAAACGAAAGGAGGGAGTAAAAAAATTTTAATACTAGCTAAGGTTGGACTGTGGGATTTATACCGAATGGTGTTATGGGTGAGGCACAGAACTACAATTTCCCAAAAGCTCCTAATGATTTTCAAAAAAATTTCAATTTGTCTCAACTGTAAATGTCAACGAAATGGTAGTATATCTGGATATGCCACCCAATTACACACTGGAAAGAAGAGGTGTGTGGGAAATTTGTTTATAAACGAGTGGTTCCGAAAAATTGCGCATAACATTGATGCTAGCAGTAACAAGTGATAGGGAAAAATTGCCGACATTATTAATATTAAGAAAAACCATTCTGAAATCTGAAAGACTTCCTGAATGACGTCCTAGTTAGGGCACAACAAAAAGGATGGACAATGGAAAAGCTGATGATTAAGACAAGTATGGAGTCTTAGACCAGGAAGATTATTAAATGAGGATATTAATTAATCATAGACTGATTGCCCTTGGTTTAGACTTCTTGTCATAATAATAATACCTGGTGGAATAACATCCATACTACAACCTATGTATGTATATCTATATTAACAAACTCGAGAATTAACAAAACCGGGAGCAATTAAAGGAGCTTCTGAACTTGCTCAGTGAGTGTACGCGACATGGAAAACGATCCCTGAAAACAATATTATAACATCATTTAAGAAGTTTTATATAATCCGAAGATGACGTAGTATGGGAAGAAAATGACACATAAAAATGTAAATATCATTCTAAAACCCTTAATAAGTCTTATTGTTATGATGTGATTTTATTTCACTATTTTCCAAATTACAACTATACGACTGCGAATCTAATCCGCACCCGATTGTAATCCGCATTTGATTTTAGAGCACATAAAATTTGTAAAAAAGGTGCGGATTACATTCGAGAAAATACGGTAGATAGAATAAAACTCTTAATTTGTAATAAATCTTTTTATCCAACAAGTTTAACTAAAAATGGAAGATAATAAAGATCAATGAATGAAAATATAGATCTGACCATGATGTTTACAATTTCTGATGGATTTTTAAAGACAAAAATGATCAAATTTGTCAACTTATTTGGATCCAAGATACAAAATGAACCTTTTTGATGCAAATTTAACAAACGAAGCAATAAGATGGCTAAAAAACTAGAAGAAACTGCAACAAGAGATTTAATTCATACATCGTTTTTGGGATTGTTACCATGAGATTGCTAATGACAAACCGGAAACAAATAAAGTTGTATTAAATCAAAAAAGTCCTATTGGGGTTGAACTTGATTATTATTTGCAGTGTAAATAAATTAATATTGTGATGTTTTACTTGTGTGTGTTCTTACACAAGTTATTTTAAACCATAAATTTGGGTTTCTTTAATTTTAAGAGACTCAGGGTTTCGGGCAAGTTCAGGTTCAAAAGAATATTAATCAGGTTCGACAAAAATTTCTTTTAATTAAACACAAAATCAAATTAACTCGTTTTATCGATATTATGAAATATCGATATTAGAGAGAACCCGTTTATTATTTGAGAGAGAGAGAGAGTAGGATAAAACTCGCTAGAACCGTTCTTTGAAAATAACAAATGGTTGACTTCTTAAGTTGTCATCAAACTCGTTGAAGAAAAATAGAATTAAATAAATGAACGTTATTCAAGAAAACTAATAAATCTTTACCCACAAGTAAGTATTGATCAAAATTATAGGAAACTCTTGTGAGTTGTTCTTTGAGTTTGATTCTTTGAATTTTCTTTTTGTAGGTTATGTTAAATAATAAAATAAAATTATCATCCGACTCACTGTGAAAAATAAAGGATTGGAGTTCAATGTGGTATCTGGAATATAGATTGTCTCTTGTGTTCGGGGCACTAACTAATTTTCTGGATTGTCTACAGGATTCTTCTTACGGGAAATTGCACTGTTTGTTCTTCAGAAATAGGGTCTTGGATGATCTCGAAGAAGTATCGGTAGTTCTCGGAATAGGTTGTAGGATGATTCTCTTTTTATTTTAATATCGTAAGTTGATTTGACTTTTAAAAAAATTATCTTAAATTTTTGAGGTTATCAAAATTTCTTCTATCTGACGACGTGGATTCGACGCTGGTCCGACGACGACTCTCTCACTCCCGGTTCGCGATCTCCTTATATACCCCGGCACTCCAACTGTTTTTTCCTCGTCTCTGATTGGCTCTTAGCTTCGCGCCCTTTTCAAAATTCAAAATTCTTGCTTCGAAACTAACGACATCTCTTGATTTTTCTCGGAATTAACCTTCAAAATTTAATTCTTTTTTCGTTGATTTTTTCCTTATTCCTTTATGAAACGTAATAAAACTTCGTATTCAACGTTGTCTTTTCTTGTTTTTAGACATACATTGGAGTACACGCCAAATTTCAACAATGAGTAAAGTTAGAAAAATTCAAATTTAAATCCAGGATTTCTTCCTCAAAATAACGTTAAAACCTCAAAAGATGGATGAAAAATGTGCTTTAGGAGCTGAACTATAATAATTGATACATTTGGAAGTAAACAAAACGGTTTAAGATAAGATTTTCACCAACAAAAATCTCTCTGTCACAAATTCTAGGTTATGTTCTCTCGGTGAACTAAGAGAATGTTAACATTATCACAAGATATAAGTTATATTAATCCATTAGGGACCAGATAGGAGATATCTTTGGATATACTATACTATATACTATATTTCCATAGAAACCAGGGCGTACTTACTTTGTCCCACAGAAAATGCAATAATTTGATATTACAATAAAATCTCGATATAACTGATTAACAACAATCTAGAATAACAAATAAAAGTAGACTAGCACTAGAACTAACACTATACCTGGAACTAGAAACATTCCGAAACTTTCTAGTTCTAGGTCTAGTGTTAGTTTTATTTGATATGCACCGCTGCACCAAGAACTAGAATCATTCAAATTTAACCGCAAGTCCATCAAGACGGCTAAACCAGATATTTTTTAGTTCTAGGTCTAGTGTTAGTTCTAGTTTTACACTATCACTAGAACTAACACAATACCTAGAACTACAATCATTCGGGTTTTCCATACTGAATCGTATATTAGACATTTCGAATTTTCCTAGTGTAATTTTTGCTTAAAACTGACCAATAGCAACCCTTCTTTTTGGCGCTTCAATTTGAAAACAGTCCTCCGAATTAAAAAGTAGAGTACATTAATATACATAAAATAGATATATAATAAATTCGATAAAATTGTGTTCAAAAATTTATTTCTTAGTTTCCTAACCTCAAAATATCTAGTTATAATTAAAAAAAGAAAAGTTCCAAGTTAATACCAACATAAACCCCAAAAACTTTTACAATTGACAGGAATGACCTTGCTATTATAAATGTATAGGTTAGGTTACAATATTTACGTTTATTAAGCAAAATAAAGTCTTTTACGATCCTAACAGTAGCTATAGCAAATTTTGCAAAAGAGAAAGATGTTGGATTTAAAACATTTAGCTTTATCAGAAAAGCAAAGAAAATATTTTTAACAAAAACTCAATGAAAATGGGATCATATTGTTGGTAAGACATTGCAATTAATTAGTGTTAATTCTAAGAACAATACCAGCTTATTTTGGAGTTCGGACGATGATAATTTAACTTTTTAAATAATTAACTCGTCATTTGTAGGTTATGTCCGAACCTAAAAAAAATCACCTACTTAATGGTTTTTTATATTATTAACTTAATTAATTTCTTATTGTTAATTAGTTTAAAATTGACTTAAAATTATTAATAGAATTTAATAAATATTTTTTTAAATAAGTGTCAATTTAAATTTCCCGCCAAAATAATCTAGTGACATTTCATTAATCTGGTGATACTTCCTAGTGTAATTCTAACTTTATATGTGTTACTCTAATAATGTGGTGTAATAATAAATTAAATGCGATTTATTATTAAAACGAGATATTAATTGTTGTATTATAATTAATAATTATCACGTTGAATTTGTATATTGGCGCGGCTCAGTCGATAAGTAAAAGGCGCTGTTGTGCGTGTCAAAAATTTCATTCACTCAAACCGCGCATGCTCTGACTACTCTTTTGGGAGAAGGTTTCCATCTTGTTCACATGTGAGTACCGATCTTTTTTGCAAAATAACCGCGATATCAAACAGAAATTTTCCCCGACCTCCACCCGGTTCAAACCCCAGGTAACCAAACTATCCGAAAAACTAACCCCCATCGAAATTTCGCCACTACTTTAATTGCAACAAAAAAAAATCGTACCGCATCCGGCGAGTTAATTCTCGCGCCATGTTGCCATATTTTTCATAAAATATCGATAAATTCATGTTTTATTTAACAATTAAAAGAATCATCTTGATCCGATTAAAATTGTGGACGAAAATTCGCGTAAAATAGAAATGTTTTTAGGTTAAGTTTAAGCCCGACTTCCGGCCACATGTTGTTTGGCCCTGCCGCGTGTACATATAGGTTAATACGCCCATTTTTTCGAGTTATTTTTTAATCTTTTTGTTGTGTTTGTGCAGTTTTTCTCGAAGTTTAAACGTTTGCTGGGCTCCCCCCACGCCGATTTTCATTAAAAAGAAGTTAAAAGAACAACAACAACAACAATGGCAGACATCGAGGACACCCACTTTGAAACCGCCGATTCCGGCGCTTCCGCCACCTACCCCATGCAATGTTCTGCATTGCGTAAAAACGGATTCGTCATGCTCAAATCTAGACCATGCAAAATTGTTGAAATGTCCACCTCAAAAACTGGTAAACACGGACACGCCAAAGTACATTTAGTTGGCATCGATATATTTACAGGTAAATTTTAACTCATTTTTTGTTACTTAATCATTTTAATTAATGAGTTTTAATTAATTTAGGTAAAAAATATGAAGATATTTGTCCCTCTACACACAACATGGATGTACCTCACGTAAAACGCGAAGATTACCAGTTGACTGATATTTCCGATGATGGTTATTTGTGTTTAATGGCCGATAACGGGGATTTACGTGAAGATTTGAAAATCCCTGATGGTGAGGTTGGTGCCCAGTTGCGTAGCGATTTCGAGGCAGGAAAAGAGCTCCTTTGTACTGTTTTAAAATCTTGTGGGGAAGAGGTAAAGTTTGATTAAATAATCCACTTACCTTGAAATCGAAATGATTCTTCTTTCTAGGTGGTTATTGCAGTTAAAACAAATACCGCACTCGACAAATAATGCCCAGCCCTGGATGTGGAGGACAAGAGTCTGTTAATAGTTGAGTTGTTCCTCCGCTTCTGTGACATTGCTATATAATATATATAAATATATTATTACTGGACCACTACTTATCAAAAAAAAAAAAAAAAATTAAACAAAAAAATTTAAAACTTAAATAAAACTAAAAAAACGACAAAAACATAGGAGCTTAAAGGTGGACATCAAAGACAACAGCAAACAATAAATAATATAACAACAAAATTCCATTTTTGGGGGTTAAAACGCGGGGTATTTTCTTTTGAGCGCTGATTCGTCGTAAAACCTTCGCTAAATAATAATCGTTTTTAGTTACATTTTTTTTTTGTTTTCTTTGTAAATTAGCCTCCTTTTAAAGTGAGTTGGCAGCGTCAACTAATTACTCATTCTTATCATTTCAACGGCGTTCCAGCTTTACCAAGACTGTTATTTTTTTTTTTATTATTATTTCCAGCGCGCTTTATTCTGCCAATTCAGTTTAAAATGTCGCGGAGTCAATACTTGTATTACAACTACTATCCTCCTTCTGAGTGTAATTTTCCGTTTTTTTTTTTTAATCATATTTTTTGTTAACTTTATTCATTAAACTCTGAAGAAATTTTTGTGGTATGGTTGTGTTACAGTTCTTAAGAATTAAAGATAACGTTCTTAAAAAAATCATTTTTTACGTAGCTCTCCATTTCTTTAAATGTTTTTTTTTTTTGATTTTTAATAAAAATAAAACTTAAAATATTTTTGAAACTTCTAATATTCATATAAATATAAATTAATTTCTTTAAAACACAAAAAGAAAATAATTTTTAGAGGTTAATGACGTTTTATCTGCCAAACATTTAGTTCGTCAATTTATGCAAAGATGGCGGCGCTAACTAATTTTATTTTAAAATTTATTTATTGATATGACATAGATGGCATTAAATTCAAATTGTACTTCTTTTGTGGTCTTGTAATAACAATAACACTAAATATATTATTTAATTTATACGAGATTAATTAATTTTAGTCAAGATAACAACCATTTAGTTATGATTTAGTTAATCCGTTAAATCTGAGATGGCGCTCTCACACTAAATAATTTCATTGATAATGTGTTAAAATATACAACAATCTAGCGCTGAATAACAAATAAAACTAGACTAACTTCTTCTAAAGTCTTCAAGACGCACGGCTAAACCCGAATAATTCTAGTTTTAGGTCTTGTGATAATAATTAATTAAATATATTAAATTACTTAATAACATAATAATAATAAGCAAGTAGGTATAAACATAGAAAATAGCTTCGTAGAAATGCAACTCTATAAACAAAAACGTCGTACTAAAAAAAAAAAAATGCATGTGGCGCAATCTGTTGGGGATATTTCGGAATTATTCAGCTAAGAACCGAACCACTAGAATACATATTGGATTTGGTTTATATATAAAAGCTCTAACCACAGAATAACTGTTAGGAGCCACTATGGGACTCCATTAACGTTCCGACTGGTTGGGAATTCTTCAGATGCAATTACACCTGTCAAATAATGACCGCCACATTTGAATATCACACTGCATCATATGACATGTGAGATTGCATCTGACGAGCTTCCAACCAGTTATAACGTTAGCTTAAACCAAGCTATAATGTCAATTATAATCTAATTATTTAATCATACCATTATTATTCTATTAATACTCTTACCAAAAAATCACTTTAAAATGACGTTTTCATCTGTCATTCTGAACAACTTAAAAGTTGAAGTTAGCGACAAATTTAAAAATATAACATGAATTAGAATCTATACTTTTTAAATTAAAAAATGATACTGGTAATAATTGTTATTGCTGTCTCTCATCATTCCCACTATTAATAATAAAATTATTAGTTTAATTAAATTATTTCAGTATAGACGCTAATGCCATCTTACGGTGGGATTTCGACACACAATCGGTCATATAAAATTAAGTATGACGAAGTGAAGTAATTATACATTTTAATTTTGATTATATTTAATACTGTAAAAATGATAAATATATATTAATAAATTAGAAATATTTGAATTTAACTTTACTGCCAAAAATTGTATTAATACTTTTTTTGACATTTCATAAAATCAAAAAGTGACATCTCTCGGCTCCCCCGCAAAAACAAGTATCGTTCTAGTCCTATAAACAAATCAAAAATATTTATTTTACGTCAAAAATCGACCGATAATCAACAATTCTTCATGAATATCAACAGAAATCAACAAAAACCCTCTTAATTTAGTAATTTTCCATATCCCAACTTGTCACGGTATAAATAGAACGACATATTAATCGAAAAATATTCGACGTTAAATGATAAGAACGAATCTCGGTTGTTGATTTTGATTGAAACCTTTTTCTCACTGTAATCGTTGAAATGGAAATGTACGAAAACTCATCACACAGCTTATTCGAACCCGAAATTACGGTAAAACAAACTTTGGACGAGGAGGGTTGTATTTACATTAAACAGGAACACGATACCATTATAGAGAATGTTCGTATTCATCCTGTAAGTTAATTACAGAGTGGTGTTTTGATTTAATCATTTATTATTTTAGCCTAAAACTAAGAAACAAAAACAACAAGCTTGTAAAGTATGCGGAAAACTTTTATCCTCACCTTCGAGTTATTACGTTCATATGAAAGTTCATTCTGGAAGTAAACCTTTTCAATGTACCGAGTGCGAAGCTACATTTTGTCGAAAAACTTATTTAGAGGTTAATTTCAAGGTATAATTCAAGAATCGTCATGTCGCTTAAAAATTGACAATTTTTTTTTAATCGACGGGAGATCACTCAAGTTAGATGTTAAAAATAAAAATGAAGAGTAGAACTTACCGAAAAATCACTTTAAAATTTCGACGTGACGTCATGGACCATATATTTTTGCAGTACATTTGGTTAAAACGCATATTTTCGGGTGAAATACGGTTGTTTCTTTGGTTTTTGACACAGAATGACTAAAATGTCGTTGTTTACCATCTATTTTACTGATTTATTTCAAAATTTTCTAGATCTAGTATTACACTTGCACTGCCATTAGACCTAGAACTAAAAATATTTAAGGTTAATGTTTTTATTCTACCTTTTTATGTTATTCCATGTTTGGACTCATTTTAAAGTTTTCTAATAAAGAATACATCATGAAATAACACCATGAAGTTGTCCATTTGTCTATTATATGATAACTAACTTCAGGTTTAAAATGTCAACCTCAATTTTGACACATTTGTAATCTTTGTTAAAAATCCTTTAAAATGAGTACAAACACGACATATTTATCTTTTATATTAATGAAGTTATGGTCAAATTCCGGTTAAGAATGTCAACGTCAATTTTGACATATTTATAATCATCATGAAAAAATCATTTAAAATAAGCCCAAACATGATACGTTTAATTCCAATATCACTCAAGATATAAGCAACTTCCGGTTTGTAATGTCAATGTCATTTTGATATATTCGTAAATTTTATAAAATGTCTTAAAATTTGTCACGATAACAAAAATATAATAAAAAAAAATCAAAAATTAAGGTTGGTATTAATTTTTAAAAATTAAATTGTTGCTAACTTCGGGTTTAATGTTTTTTATTCTAACTTTTTTGTTTTTTGACATAAGTGCGTCATGTTTGGACTCATTTTAACGGTTATTTTATAAAGATTACGAATATAACAATAAAATTAAAGTTGACATTAACACCTGAAAGTTTTTTTCTTAGCTGTTAGTTCTAGTGTAAAACTAGAACTAGGATTTGTATCAAGTTTGGATCATTTCGTCAACCGGAAGTGGTACTTTATTTGAAACCATCTTGAACTGGTTCTATATAAACTTGTTGTTTAAAGAGAGTTAAACAAATGCAATATTGCATAAGCGATTAAAATTATGAGAAACGTTCATACCGTAAATTTCACTCGAACTGCGTAACCGGAAGTTGTCCTTTATCGGAGCACCATCCATCATTTTTTATACAGTGTGTCCGTAAAGTAGCGGATATAGGCGATAAAATCATTATTAACGGTTTATTCAAAAAGCCATGAAACGAGTCTAAAGATTTACATTTTTTACAATTTCTTAGTGTAGATTTCAAAATTTTTCCGCTATTTTTAAGCGAGTTATGACGTCATCGATGTTTTTTTTAAATGACAATCCCCCATTTTTATTACGGAATATAAGAGGATTTTTTTCTGAATCTAGTACAGTCAATATTAATATTGCTTACATAAGAAAATTTTCGAGAAAAATTACTTTAAAGTTCTCGTACTTCAAATTTGTATAAATGATAAAAACAGCAGTTGCCATGGTAACCAATTATTTTAAACAATTGCCTGAGTGTCAAAAACTGTAATAAGAATGGTGGATTGTCATTTGAAAAAAATTAAATCTTTAGACCCGTTTCAGGGATTTTTCCATAAACCATTTATAATGATTTTATCGCCTATATCGGTTACTTTGCGGACACACTGTATATGTAAACTGGCATGTTACAGAATAATAGGATAAATGCATGAAATTAATTAACAACTTCTTTGTAGTCATGAAAATATATAGATATTAAATATCAACCAAATTGCGTAACCGGAAGTGGTCAAGTTTGTCTTGAGCGACTAAACCCGAATGTCTTGTTAGTTCTAGTATTAACACAGAGTCTATTGACACACAGTCTATTATTGACCAGTTTGATAGGAAAAAGCATGGTTAACATTGCTTGTGACGTCACATCGAATCTGTAACGTGATTTTCACTTTCTATTTATTTTTAACGTGTTTTTTGGGTCATTTCACATGGATTAAAAAAAAATCGTCGACTTTTAAGCCACATGATGATTCTTGAATTTTTCCAATATCAATCTAAATTAATTAATTTTTAATTTAAGGTTCATATGAGAACACACACAGGTGAACGTCCATTTCAATGCGAATACTGTGAGAAAAGATTCACTCAAAAATCTAGTTTAAACACCCACAAACGAAGTCATACAGGAGAACGACCGTATTCTTGTAACGTGTGTAATCGCGCTTTTGCGGTTAAAAATTATTTAATCGCACACAGATGGACCCATGTTAGCGATAAACAACTAAAATGCGTACATTGTTGTTTGGAATTTACGTCACGTAGCCAATACATTTTGCACTCGAAAACTCACCTCTTCGACTGTAGTCACGAGTGTCATTTTTGCGGGCGAGTTTTCGCTAAAGAATCGTATTTAATCCGCCACGTACATAAAGTTCACAAAGAGGAAAGAAATAACGATTTAGTTACGGCTAATAATGTGCAATAAAAAAAATCATGTTTTATTTAATTACTTTATAAGTTAGGTTAGTTTTTTTTTTGAAATTCGTTTTAAGAATTTCTTTTTGTTTAGAACTGTAGATTGATTAATATAATATAAATATATAAAAATTGTATTAAAAATAATTTTTAATTTAAATCAACCTAAAAATAAAAAATATTAAAGCGACATCTAGGTGAATGTTTAAGTAAATTGAGTTGAAATGTCAATTTTCGGCCGGTAATGTAGTTTGCACGCGATTCAGTGTGATGTGATTGACACCGTGAAAGAGTTCTTAGCGCAATTACAATAGATTTATAAAACCCACACGATTAAAAGGTATGTAATCCGTAAATTACAACTTAAGATGTTACATTAACCGTAATGATTACGTAAAAAACCGTTTGATTCATCCATAATTTAACCCTCTTTTTCTCACGAGTGTGAGCCTACACGGTGATTTTGTGTCCTAACTTCCTTATTGGACGTTAAATTTTATTAGTAAACACCCTTAAAATCAATTCGGGGTCGATTTAGTTCGGTTTAGGCTGGTTTTATCGGTAAATGAGGTGTTATTTGGGTATAACCGTTCCTTGAAGTTGTACAGTCACTGCCAAAAAAAAAACATGTCGATGATTTTCATTTACGTTCGCATTTTTTATTTAAAAAACCTCCTGTTTTTCACATGCATTATGGCCTTATGACCTTTCAGGCAATAACACGCCAATTGCATAATTGATAAATCGTAATACGTCTTTAATAAATTCGTTTTTCGTTCTTTTTAGTTCGAGATTTGAGTCAAGTGGTTGACCTAACCTATAAAAACGATTTTTTGTGTATTATGTAATTTTTTAATCAATCCGAAAGAAATTATTGGGATATTTTGTTGTATTTCGCGGTAAGTTTCATTAATTCCTTTTTATTTAAATAAGTAATCGTTAAAAAGTAAATAAAAATTAAAACATGCGGTTTTTTAACCGTTAGTGGTGCCATCTATGATACGTTTTTTGCGATATATTTAGTTATTTATTTTTTTTTGAATTATTATTTTTAATAATCAATTTTACTTATTTATACTTTTTTTGTTAAGCAAAAAGTGTTTTAAAAGCCAACGCAACAAATTTAAAATTTTAAACGCAATTTGGCAACAACCGTTTGATCTAATTTTAGCTACCCCACTAATTCAGTTATTCCTCGATGTCACAAGAGCCCCATTCGACTCGTTAATGTCGTTTCTCATCGAGGTAAACGCAAAAATACAAAAAAAATCGCTTATATAAAAAAATCATTAAGTAAATAAAATCATAACCTCAAAAAAAATTTTTTTTCTTTTTTTAATTTAATTTTCCTTTTTGATTTTTTGAAATAAATTAATTGATTAATAAAAATAAAAGGTTTTATAATAAAATTTAATTAGAAAAAATTAAATTAATATTAAAAAAAATTTTTAACATAACCTCACTTTTTTGTTGACATCGCTGACAGTTGACGTTTAATCATAAATTTTTGTTGATTTTGACGAAATTGATAAAAATAATGAAAATGCTGTGTCTTTTTAGTGCTGTTGTAGCGGTGCCATGCAAACGCTAAGCGCTGAGGGGCAGTACATGAACGCGAACGGGGCCGTAAACCCGGAACGTGTGGCGATATTGGACGCGGGCGCTCAGTATGGTAAAGTGATCGACAGGAAAGTGCGAGAACTCTGCGTCGAAGCCGATATTCTACCGCTGGATACGCCGGCGTTTACAATCAAAGAGAACGGTTATAGAGCTATTATTATATCGGGGGGGCCAAACTCGGTTTATGCCGAAGATGCGCCAAGATACGATGCTGATATTTTTCGAATAGGATTACCTGTTTTAGGTAAATATAAATTAATCTTACATACGAAGACACACTAGAAGTAGAACTAGAAACTTTTGGGTTAAGAAAAAGTGTTTGACGTTTCGGGTGGAGAAGGTTTTTTTGGATATTCTGGTCATCGTGAATTTGCAGATTTTTTTTGGCTAATTAAGCCAAGATAACATTTATCCTCAATCTCAAAGGGCGCTTGCGGACTAGGCGCTAGAACCCAACCCGACAGAGAAGATACAATAAAGATACAAATATCTCATAAGAAGATGTTTATCCTCAAACCGCCGAGGTCGCTTGCGGGCGAGGCGCTAGAATCCTCCAACGTTGACGAATTCTTGGTTACGTATCAAATTCAGCGCTGCGCCCGCAAGTGATTTCTGCGATTTCAGGCAAATCGTTCTTTGTATATCTTGCTGAAGATATAAAAGTCTTTCATAAGAAGATATTTATTCTCGAACCGCCGAGGTCGCTTGCGGGCGAGGCGCTAATTTTTATACATCAATACCAACTTACTAACTTTGCAGGATATTTGAGGATAAATGTCTCTCTATGAGGGACTTGTGTCTTTACCAAGATAAACTGACCGGCAAAAAAAACCGGCCACTTAAATTTTGCCACAATTTCAAAGGTGGGTTTCTCGCGAACCACTCATTCGATTTTGATGATTCCTTTTTTGATCGAAAGGTTGATTCTTCTGTAATAATCCTGCGATAGAAATTTTTATTCGGATATTAATTTGAGCATATACGGGGTGCAAGAATGAGAAAAGCATTTTTTCTCGAAATTTGTAATACCCTGTGGGGTGCAGATGCTACAGCAGAGGGTGTTAACTGGAATCAAACGGTAACCCAATCTTTTCTGAACATTTTGTTTTTTTATTCACTCTATTATCTCTGTTACTAACGAAGATGCAGTGTTTTAAAGCGAACGCCTGTGAAAACAAGACAAACAAGCATACAAAATCTAAGGTGGCGCGCTAGGTAGCGTATGTCAGTTGTTTCGAATAGTAAATTGACAGTTGTCAAAGATGCCGTTGTCAATAACTGATGTTGCGCGTATTATTAGTTTAATTGAAGATGGCAAAAGTCAGCGGTACGTTGCCCATACGTTGGGTATACCCCGAACAACAGTTCAGGATGCCTGGAACCGATATGTGGAAACAGGAAATTTTACTAGGCGGCAAGGTTCCGGTAGAAGACGAGTGACAACAGCAGTTGATGATCGATTTATTGTGCTAAACACTCTGAGGAATCGTAGAACGACTGCTGTAGAAACTCGGCATCGTCTTCAAATGGTGCGTGGGGTTGACGTAAGTGAAAGAACCATTCGTCGAAGACTTGCTGAAAGTGATCTAACTGCAAGAAGACCTGCCAAAAGACAGCGGCTGGTCCAGAGACATCGGCGAGCACGTTTTCAATTTGGGCGCCTACATACGAATTGGAAAATGGAACAATGGGGTAAGGTGCTCTTCACTGACGAGTCCCGATTTTGTCTCCGGTCACCTGATGGTCGAGAACGAGTGTGGAGACGTCGTAATGAAAGGTTTGCGACCTGCACAATTTCGGAAAGAGTACCTTTCCATGGAGGTTCGGTCATGGTATGGGCGGTATTCCGACGGAAGCGCATACAGCGCTCATCTTTGTTGAAAATGGCACGCTAAATGCCAACCGTTATAGCCAAGATATTCTGCAAGAAGCTGTCGTGCCCTATTCCCATTTTATTGGTGACGGATTCACGGTAATGCATGACAATGCGCGACCGCACGTAGCACGTGTGGTTAGCGAATATCTTGATGAGATGGGTATTGAACGGACCTTAACACTATCGAACATCTTTGGGACTAACTTCAGAGATGCATTCGTCGTCATCCTGTTCTACCGGACAATTGATTCATAATTGTGTAGTCCACAAATCTTTCATTTGAACGTTTTCATATTCGTTTCTGACTATCGGGTGATAGTAGACAAAACCACTACTCATCCGTAAAAAAGACCTCCATTGCAGTACTCATTCTTCCATTGCTCGATCTCCCAATTCACATGTAAGCGCGCAGATTGAAGGCGTGCACGTCGATATCTTGGAAGCAGCCTCGGCCCTTTAGCAGCCTTCTTGCAGCCAGACCAGTTCTAGCAAGTTTTCAGCGAATGGTTCTCTCACTGACATCACAGCGGCCTCTACAGCTGTCGTTCTACTATTGCTTAGAACAATAAAACGGTAATCAGCTACTATTGTCACTCATCTTGTTTTCACAGACGATCGCTTTAAAATACTGCATCTTCGTTAGTAACAGAGATAATAGAGTGAATAAAAAAAGAAAATGCTCAGAAAAGATTGGTCTACTGTTTGATTCCAGGTAATACCCTCTGCTGTAGCAACTGCACCCCGCAGGGTGTTACAAATTTCGAGAATAAAAGTCTTACTCATTTTTCTCACCCCGTATATGCTAAAATTAAAATCTGAACGAAAATTTCTATCGCAGGATTATTACAGAAGAATCAACCTATCCATCAAAAAGAGAATCATCAAAATCGAATGCGCGGTTCTCGAGAAAGCCAGCTTTGAAGTTGTGGCAAATTTATAGTGGCCGGTTTTTTTTGCCGGTCAGTTTATGTAAGGAACGATTTTCTTTTAAATTGTCTTCTTATAAGTCTCTAAGTATCTTCTTATAAGAGACATTGTATCTTTACCAAGATATAGAGTGTTTCCTAAAAGTAATGCAGAAATTCCCATTCAATTGAGATAGAAAAATAGAAGAATGCGTAACCATGGCAACCAATCGTTTTAGATATTAAAAGTTGGCCATTGTCTGTAATAAAATATCTAAAACGATTGGTTGCCATGGTTATGCATGGCTACTTCTATTTTTCTATCTCAATTGAATGGGAATTTATGCGTTAATTTTGGGAAACACTCTATATCTTGGTAAAGACACAATATGTCTTATAAGAAGCCAGTTACCCTAAAACCGAGGTCGCTTGCGGGCGAGGTGGTAAAATCCTTCAAAGTTAACTATTTCATGTTGACGTATCATATTTAGCGCCTCGCCCGCAAGCGACCTCGGCGGAGTGAGGATAAACGATTTCTTGATGAAGTGTTGTACTCCTAAAAGTGCACCATGACTTTACTAATACTGTATCATTCAAACATTGTCATAATATTAACACGACTGCCATTTTAAGCAAAGACTTAAAATTTTGATTTGAATTTGAAATTTTAATGTCCCTTTATAGAGATAGTTATTACACAAGTGTAGAGTGTGTAGACCTAGCAAGAATAGTTCTGTATGGCATCAATTTCTTCAAACCATTATCGCAGAATAATACAGAAACGAAACTGCCCTTTAAATGTGAAACTCGGCCGCCATCTTGATGGTAGTTATATTAGCGAGATCATTAATGTTAAAACAAAACAAACGTAGTTATAATGTAAATAATATTAAGTTAAGTATTGTAAATAATACATGATTTACTACCTAAAATACGGTTTTAATTTCCGTGTCTGTAAATCAGCTGCAAAAGAACTAAAAAAAAAGGCGTCAAATCATTTGCTTTGTTAACTACCAACAAGATGGCGAATCTGTACACCTCCAACATCAAAGAAGCTGTCGCTGTCGTTTCTGTATTATTCTGTGCCATTATATTATTTATTAATATTATGTATTTTTTCGATTGGTCGCGCGTCAGCCAACGTATTAATAAGAAAGAAACCGGAATGGTTCTAATTATTTAATGCTAAAAGCACAAAATAGGAAATAAAACTAAAACTAGAAACTTCCAGGGGTTAGAGTTGGTGTCTTCCATAGAGTGTTGTAGCAAGAAGCATGAAAGGGAACAAGTCGAACACTTTTCTAAAAGATAAAATTAGCTAAATTAATTTTTTTATGTTCCCAAGATGCTCAAAATGACCTAAGGAACACCATAAGCACACACAATTCAAATTTGGCAGTAGCAAAAAAAAATATACGACTGCAAAGAGTAACTGTAAATTTGGAATTTTAATTTTTGAAAATTTTTTGCTTTTAGAATATGTAAAATATCCTTTGTAACGCGACTAATACACACATTTCTTTCTAAACAAGTCAAACACTTTTCTAAAAGATAAAATGAACCCAAAACTTTCACGGTTGTGAAGTTAGCCATAGATTTAAAAATCGAAAAATGACCGATTTTTGCAACTCGAAACGCAAATTAAAATTCATATTTGAGTTTAGCGATCTTAGAACAACCCCAATACAAAAATTTATGGGGGGGTAATTGTAATTAACGTTTTTAAAACATATGCTTCGTTTTTGATTTTTTCTATTAATTCATCCTTAGAGTTGACTTGTGTAAACATAGGGTGTATGTTAGGTGTATGTTCTTTCATGTGGCCCCACACATAAAAATCAAGGGGCGTCAAATCAAGACTCCTTGCAGGCTATGGAATTAGATCTCCTCTCCCAATCCAACCATTAGGAAACATTTCATTTAATGAATTTTCAACATTTTGGGAATAGTGTGCAAGGCATTCATCTGGAAAGCCACATTACATCTGTTTTCTAAAGGTACATGGTCAAGCAGGCCTATTAAATTGTTATGTAAAAATTCATTGTATGCTGCGCTAGTTAAACCATCCGGCAAAAAATAAGGACCAATTAAATTATTTCCAATGAGCCCCATCCACAAGTTTACGCAAAATTTTCTTTGATTGTTCATTTCCCTTGTTAGATGCGGATTTTGAATACGGTGAAAATGATTTAAGAATACAGTTCATTAATGGATGTCCGAGAATTGTTAAGAAAAACTAGTAACTTCCCAACGGAAAGAGTACAACATATACTATCAAAACAAATTTTTTACTTCGGTCGATGCATCAGACTTTGATATTATTGCTCTCAGTGAAACTTGGGTCAAGAAGAGCGTCCTAGACTACGAGATCTTTCCAGACAGGTATGACGTTTTTAGATGTGATCGATCTTTCCATAAGGGTGGAGAGATGTTACTGGCTGTTAATTCCGGAGTTGCTACTTCGAATATCATGATTGCCTCCTGTCCTATTGAATCAATTGACTTGAAAGCTGTACGGATTGACTTTAAAAAGACGAAATCGGCCTTTAACATTGTTGTCTGCTATTTCCCACCTGTTACACCTGGAGGAATGTATGTATAGTTACACCTTCGATTACATTGAATCAATGTTGGATATGTCTTTGGATACCATAGTCATGGGTGATTTTAATATTGAAGTAATAATGACTTTCTGCAATTAAATAATGTAATGAATATCATTGATAGAACTCTTGATTTGATACTTGCTTCCTCAAACTTGAGTTTCAAATTAAACACTGAGACTTTACATTGGTACGAGAAGATAATTACCAATCGGCATTACTACTTACTATTTCGGTAACGGTGCCTACACATTTGATAGCTCGAGATGTTATCTTATCTGCCTGACATGTACGAGG